GGAAAGGTTGAGAACCCAATTCTGGATGTGATCACTTTGGTAAGGTCAAAGGTGTTCCCCATCGTGCCTAGCTGGAACACACCAGCTGGGGCTCAAAGCACCTGGCCTCCCTCCCCCTCCTCCCATCCAGGTCCATGGAACTGGAGTCTGTGGGGCTGGGTGGGGCAGCAGCCTTCAGGGAGGTACGGGTGCAGTCCGTGGTGGTGGAATTCCTGCTCACCCACGTGGATGTCCTGTTTAGCGACACCTTCACTTCTGCTGGCCTCGACCCTGCAGGTATGCCCATCCCACCCCCTGATATCCTGGCTACTGCCCCCTCATTGTTAGGGCTGCAGTGGGAGGGCAGGTGGGCTCCCAGCCCTATCCCTACCCCACTGAAGCTGGACCTCCCTCCTGGCTCCTTGAGGACCCCGCCCCGGCCTCTCCCACCCCTCCCCCCCCTTCTCATTTCAGCTCCTACGCTCAGGATCCCCACTTCTTGGCCCGGACATCGTTCTTCCTTCACCCCTTGTAGCTCCTGGGGGCTCTTGGGGCCATGGGTCCACCAGGGAGGAGGTGGGAGGTCCCCAGACTTGACCCCGCCCCGGCCCCACCCAGACTCCCCGCCCTACCCCGGACCCCAGCCCAATCAGGATTCAGCACGTCGGAGGGCCCTCTGGCCCGAGGTAACTGAAGCCAGAGCCGCTGCCCTCGCTGGCTGCCGGGAGCTGCCTCCTCATCAGCTCGTTCTGCCTCACTCCTCCTCCTCACCTGCCTGCTGCCCACCCATTCCCGCCTGATCCGCCCTGGCCCCCTGCCTTGCCAGCCCGGGTGGGCACGCTGCGGGGCCGGGGCTTGGGCTGTAGCGCTTGGCTTTGCCTGTGGCCTTGAGCGGCCCCCCCGAGCTGACAGCTGCCCCCTTTCCCAACTCCCTAGGCCGCTGCCTCCTCCCCAGGCCCAAGTCCCTTGCGGGCAGCGGCCCCTCCACTCGCCTGCTGACGCTGGAGGAAGCCCAGGCTCGGACCCAGGGCCGGCTGGGGACTCCCACCGAGCCCACCACTCCCAAGGCCCCGGCTTCCCCTGTGGAAAGGTGAGTGGGATGCTGGGGGAGCACAGGGCCAGCCTGGAGGCCCCAGATCCTCAGACTGCCTCCTGTGTCTCACGCAAACCCTAGGAGGAAAGGGGAGAGAGGCGAGAAACAGCGAAAGCCAGGGGGAAGCAGTTGGAAGACGTTCTTTGCACTGGGCCGGGGCCCCAGCATCCCCCGGAAGAAGCCTCTACCCTGGCTGGGGGGCACCCGTGCCCCACCGCCACCTTCAGGTCAGAGGCGGCAGGGAGTGGGGGCTGGGGCTGGGGGGGGGAGGCACTTTGGAGTGCCCTTGACCGGTCCGCCTCTCCCTGCAGGCGGCCGACCTGACACAGTCACACTGAGATCTGCCAAAAGTGAGGAGTCTCTGTCATCACAGGCCAGCGGGGCTGGTGAGCGCTGGGTGGCTCATGCCTGGGCCCCGGTGCGGCTGGGAGGGCTGGCGGCCCTGAGGTGGCCTCTAAATGTATTTCAGATTTGCGGGGTTGGGGTTGTTTGTTTTGTTTTTTAGTTCCTAATCTGGACACGAGGTACCATCGATGTGTTAGATAAAGCATCACCCTTGGTTCATGATGTACTGTGATCATTGGTCCAGGCAGGGTCCTTTCAGGCTTTTATTCGTTCCTTTTGAAAAGAAATCTAAATAATAAAACGAACATCCGTGAACCCACTGGCCAGAACTAAAAGACCCCACTCCCTTCCTGCAAGCTCCTCCCCTCTCCCTGTCTGCTGCCTGCCCACCAGAGGAGTCCCCTAGAGTTGACCGGCAGCATCCCCTTGCTCTAAGGTTTACCACCTACAGGCCTCTGCATAAATAACATATGGCACAGTCCTAGCTGTTTTGAAACTTTAAAGGTCTCCTAAGAAAGGGTGGGGGGTGGTGCTGGATGTGGAACCTGACTTTCCGCTCACTGCCACCCACGCGGCTGAGAGTAGCTCAGGCTCGTTCCTCTTGGCTGCTCTCTGGTATCCATGTGTGGCTCTCCCATCCAGAGTCACTTGTCTGTCCTACCCCCGAGGGGCTTGGGGGCTCTGGTGAGCACTCCCTGCGCACCCACACTCTGGAGAGCGCTCCAAGCACCCAGGAGCCGAGGGGCGCGCTGTAGGCCATGCTCACGGTCAACCTTACGTGACAAGGCCGGGTCGCTTTCCAAAAAACTGTCGCCCTAATCTGCACTCCCAATAGTGAGAGCCTGGGAGGTCCCGCTGGTCTCCTGCTCACCAGCCGTGTGGTTGTCAGATGTCAGTCTTGCCTTTGGGTGTAGAATGATTCTCATCTTTCCTTTCTCACTGTGAGTCTGGACAGCAAATCCCTGGATTTACAGCCACTGTGACCCTATCCAGAGAAGTGCCTCTTCGTGTAACTTGCCCAGCCTAACCCACCCTTACTGCTGTACGCGTATGTAAAGTTCCGGCCCCTCACGCCTAACTGCCCCCCCTTCCAGGCCTCCAGAGGCTGCATAGGCTCCGGCGACCCCACTCCAGCAGTGACGCTTTCCCTGTGGGCCCGGCACCTGCTGGCTCCTGCGAGAGCCTGTCCTCGTCCTCCTCCTCCTCCGAATCCTCCTCCTCTTCGGAGTCCTCGTCCTCTGGATCCTCAGCAGCTGGGCTGGGGGCACTCTCTGGTTCCCCCTCACACCGAACCTCAGCCTGGCTAGATGATGGTGACGAGCTGGACTTCAGCCCACCCCGCTGCCTGGAGGGGCTCCGGGGGCTCGACTTCGATCCCCTTACATTTCGCTGCAGCAGCCCCACACCAGGGGACCCGGCACCCCCCGCCAGCCCGGCACCCCCAGCCCCTGCCTCCGCCTTCCCACCCAGGGTGACCCCCCAGGCCCTCTCACCCCGAGGGGCCGCCAGCCCTGCCTCGCCCACTGCCCTGGACATCTCAGAGCCCCTGGCTGTATCAGTGCCACCTGCTGTCCTGGAGCTGCTGGGGGCCGGGGGAACGCCTGCCTCAGTCACGCCAACGCCGGCCCTCAGCCCCAGCCCGGGCCTACGGCCCCATCTCATCCCCTTGCTGCTGCGTGGAGCCGAGGCCCAGCTGAGTGACACCTGCCAACAGGAGATCTGCAGCAAGCTGGCGCTGCCTGTTCCCCGGGGAGCCCAAGGCCAGCCTGGTGAGTCCTGCTCAGCCTACCCCATGACCTTATAGACCCTGAAGCTGCACCCAAGACCTGGCTGACTCCTCTTCCCGTTCCTCTCTCTGTAGGTCCTGGTATGGATTCACCGCTGCTGCCCCCACCCCTGTCCCTCCTGCGCCCTGGGGGGGCCCCACCCCCACCCCCCAAGAACCCAGCACGCCTCATGGCCCTGGCCCTGGCTGAGCGGGCTCAGCAGGTGGCCCAGAGACAGAACCAACAGGAGCATGGGAGCACCCCTTCTGCTCCCCACTCCCCTTTCCACCACTCACTGTCGCTGGAGGTGAGCGGTGAGCCCCCAGGGACCTCAGGGGTTGGGCCGGCCCCCAACTCCCTAGGCCACCCAGGTGCCTGGGTTCCTGGACCCCCACCCTCCCTGCCAAGGCAACAAAGTGACGGGAGCCTGGTGAGGAGCCAGCGGCCCCCAGGGACCTCAAGGAGGGGACTCAGAGGCCCTGCCCAGGTCAGTGCCCAGCTCAGGAGAGGTGGGGGGGGGTTCAGAGGGTGTGGGGATGAGCCAGAGATGGCAGCTCAGTTCCTGTATTCTGTCCCCCCACAGGTTCCTACTCCCGGCTTCTTCTCTTCAGCCCCTCGGGAGTGCCTGCCACCCTTCCTTGGGGTCCCCAAACCAGGCTTGTACCCCCTGGGTTCCCCATCCTTCCAGCCCAGCTCCCCAGCCCCAGTCTGGAGGAGCCCCTTAGGTCCCCCTGCACCACTTGACAGGGGAGAGAACCTGTACTATGAAATCGAGACAGGTGAGGGAACCCCTTACTCTGGCCCCACTAGGTCCTGGAGTCCCTTTCGCTCTATGCCCCCAGATAGGCTCAATGCCTCATATGGCCTGCTTGGCCAATCGCCACCACTCCACAGGTCCCCCGACTTCCTGCTCAGCTACCCACCACCCCCTTCTTGCTTTCCCCATGACCACCTTGGCTACTCAGCCCCCCAGCATCCCGCCAGGCGCCCTACCCGGCCCGAGCCCCTCTATGTTAATCTAGCTCTGGGGCCCCGGGGCCCCTCACCTGCCTCTTCCAGCTCCTCCTCCCCTCCTGCTCACCCCCGGAGCCGTTCAGATCCTGGCCCCCCAGCCCCCCGCCTACCCCAGAAACAGCGGGCCCCCTGGGGCCCCCACACCCCTCACAGGGTGCCTACGCCCTGGGGCCCTCCAGAGCCTCTCCTGCTGTACAGGGCAGCCCCACCGGCCTACGGGAGGGGGGGCGAGCACCACCGAGGGTCCTTGTACAGGAATGGGGGGCAAGGAAGGGAGGGGGCTGGTCCCCCACCCCCCTACCCCACTCCCAGCTGGTCCCTCCACTCTGAGGGTCAGACCCGAAGCTACTGCTGAGCCACAGCTGGGAGACAGACCTTCCTCCCTTCCCTTTGCCCTCACTGATCTTGGCCCCATCTAATCCCTTGTTTTGTATTTTCTTGAGCTCCTGACCCCTACCCCAGGTTTCTAACTTTGTAACTTGTTTCTGATGTGGGTCCCTAACCTGTTATGGCTTCCCTACCCTGGGCCGAAGGGCATACCCATCCCCCCACCATCCTCCCGTCCCGGGGGCTCTCGCACAAATCTGAGGGCTAGGCTGACACCCTGTCTTGCCTCTCCCTCCAGGAGCCCCCAGCTTGTCCTGACCTGTGCACAGGGGGTTGGGGAACAGCTCCTGCCCATCTCCCCCCACACCCCCCACTAAACCATCTGACAAAATTAATGAATAAAAACGGTGAAAACACAGGTGCTAGTATCATGCTGGGGCCAGACTCAGGGAACAAAGAGGCAGAGACAGATGGGATACTTTATCACTTTATCATTTCAGCAAGTGCTGCGTGGGAAGTCACTGCTGGGAGGCTCTGAGGGGCGGTGTCTGCAGAGAGGCAGTCACGGGTACTCTAAGGATCGGTGTCAGGAGCTGCGTCGAGGCTGGACTTGTCTCCGAGTTGTCCACCTTGCAGCTCTGCTATGATCTCCTCCAGCAGGTCCATCCTGGGGAGTAGTGGAATAGGGGTGGAGCCAGGGTCACTGCAGGGATGAGGAAGGGATGGGGGGGGGGGGGGGGGGGCAGCAGGGCCCATTTCTTACTTCTGCAGGCTGGAGAAGAGACCTCCTCTGATCAGCTCGGGACTGGGCTCCTGTAGAGGAAAAAGGCTGGAGCTGCCAGCCAGTAGCCATGGAGCTCAGGATGGGCCTGGGAGCGGGGGCGGGGCAGGAGATAGGCTCGGGGTCCTCTGTTTCACCCACCCTCGTGGCCTTCCCTGCCAGCAGCCTCCAGGGTGTGAGAGGCCTCGCTGTGGGTCAGCAGGCAGGGGGTGGGCTCAGAGGGTGGGGGGTCCAGCAGGGCGGCCGTGTGTGTGCTGCTGCAGCCCCTGCAGGGCTGGCATCTTGGCTGAGCTCCTCTCCAACTGCTCCACAGAACCCTGGATCCCCAGCAGGGAGGCTGAGTCCTGAAGTCTGTTGTGCAGGGCAGGGCCCTGGGGGAAGTCGGGTTGGCCAGGGGGCACGGGTCAGTGAGAGGACAGTTGGGGGGGTCCCTGGTCAAAGGAGAGGCAGCCAGGGAAACTGGGGTTGGTGACAACTGGGGTGAGGGGTCACAGTTTAACAAACGGACGGTCCGGTCGCGCAGGGCCCTGGGGGGATCCATACTGTCGAGCTGGGCTCCAGGCAGCGGTGCAGGCCGACCCGGTCTGCGGGGCTGGAGCCTGGGTAGAGGCTGGGGCCGGGACTCGGTCTGCTGCCTAGAGTCAAGCTGCTGCCGGAGTCCCAGGCTGTGGCCCTCTGGACTCTGCTGTGGCCTGTGACCTCGAGAGTCTTCAGGGCCTGCAGACACAATGGCAGGAGGTGGCATGGGCTCCCTTGGTCCCCCAGATCCCTGCTCTGGCTCCTGCCATCCCCACTCCTGTCCCTCCGGTGGCCCGCAGCTCCCTTGGTCCTCCATGTCCCTGCTCTGGCTCCTACCTGGCATGGGGAAGGGCCTAGGGACATCACAGGGGGCACAGGCCTGAGTGCAGACTTGGCTCTGGGAGCCACCTCACAGTACAGTGTCTCTGGGGGGACAGACCAGTTGGTTGGAATGGGGGGAGGAGAGCTGCGCTTAACACTGGCTACGACCCCTTCCGTGCCCTCTAACCTGGTAGGAAACCCTGAGACACGGGGCACTGTGCACTCCAGTGCATCGGGGAGCTCACCTCAGGAGCTGGGTCCTGTGGAAAGGAGGCTGAGTGTGTGACATGGGTCCTGCCTAAGGCTCCATGGCTACCACCACCCGGCCAACCCGTCCCATACCTGGGCCATGGCCTCCCGCAGCAGGTATCGAGTGTTCTGCAGGCTGCCCCAGCGGTCGGCGGGCCCTAGGCCCAGCCCAGCCTGAACCAGGGCCTGGTAGGGGGCAGGCACCAGGGGATCCAGGGCCGGGCTCTCACCTGCCTCCAATTTAGCCTTCACCTCAGGCCCCTTTCTCCCAGCCCAGGGCAGCTCTCCTGTAAGGAAGCATGACTGGCGGACCCAACCCAAAGGGCGACCTCGGTGGGGCAGGGTGTAGGATCACTCACTGACCGGTGAACACCTCCTGGGCCAGGATGCAAAAGCTGTAGAGATCTGAGGTGGCAGCAGGCATGTCCCCGCAGATGAGCTCAAGTGGCAGCCATGGGTACAGTTCAGGAGGCGGGGGCAGCCCCGGGCCTGGGCCTCCCCGGGAGCAGCCCTGCTGTGGCCTATGGAGGCCGGGGAAGGGGGCGCTGGTGAGCCAGCGGCCACTGGGCAGGGATACAGGGGCAGCAGGGGAGGCGGGCACTCACCTGGGCTGCAGCCAGCGTCGGTGCAGGGGGCGGCCGTGCTCCAGGCTGCCCACCTTGGCCAGGCCTGGCCGCACCAGCTGCACCGCATGAGAGCTAAGGCCGCCATGAGCGCACCAGCGGGCCTGCAGGAACAGCAGGGCCTCCAGCACCTGCAGCAGCAGGTGGCCGGGCAGCAGGCCCGGCACAGTGCAGGGTCCTGCCGGCCTCGGCCCGCGTGGGTGCAGCACCACATGCAGGGAGCCCAGCCACACGGGTTCGAAGAGAAGGCACAGCCCCGACAGGTCGGCCGAGGGGCTCAGTGCCATCAGCAGCAACAGGTTGGGGTGGTGCAGGGTGCTGGGCGGGAGGAGAGCAGGCCACTCACAAGGAGGCCCCTACCTGCTTGGTGGGGGCTGCTCCTGGGCACAGATCAGCACGTGCCAGGGGTTGACGATCTGCACCAGCCACCAGACAGAGGAGAAACTGAGACCTGGCTCACAGGGCCAGCATCCAATTCGTACCCCACCTGGGGTACCCCTCTCTACGCCAGCCACCCCTCTGTGGCCTGTAATACACAGCACACAGCCCTGGGACCCACTTTACAGCAGGGGGGAGGGGTGGTCACTCCAGTAAGAGGGCTCCATGCCAGGTGCTGGCCCAGAGGTGAAGACCGTAACCGTGGCCACCGCCAAACTCCCTGGCCTCCTGTTTATGAGACACTTGAGTCCAGAGGGCAGGCGGGAGACTGGTCTGTGGGACTGGGCCAGCCTGGGGGCCAGGCTGGGGGTGGTGTACCTGCAGTGCTGAAGGTCAGCTAACAGCACATCTGGCTGAGTTCCGGGTGCCTTCAGCTGCCGAGCTGTCACAGGGTGGCCCCTCCACAGGAGGCTAGAGAACAGGGAGGGGGAAAGAGCACAGGTCTGAAATGGGGGGGGGTCTTCCTATGAGGGAAGGAGGAGAGCTGGACACCTCCCAGACTCTGCTGGACAGCTAGGCAGGGGGTGTGGGAGGGGCTCTCTCTCACTTGGCCATGAGGGTGTGGGAGCTGCTCTCGTAGGTGCGGTCAGGCTCGCCCTGGGCTGGCAGCAGCTCCTTGGGGTCCGCGAGGGGTATGCCTGTTACCAGCCCCAGTGGCCACAGGCTGCTCAGCTGGGGATGGGGAGTGGGACTATGAGGCACAAAGCGGACAGGGGTGTTCCCTGCTCCCCCAACCTCTCCCGCTTACCTGGCCAAACCCCAAGGCTGGGATTTGGGAGGGTCTTCTGATGTGCTCCGGCCTCGGCGCCCTGGATCAAAGGGAAGGCCAGGGGTAAGTCTAGGGCAGCTGGGGGTGGTGGGTGACTGGGCTTCAGGATGTGGGTAGTTACCTGTCCGCATGCACCAGCCGCGGCAAGGACAGAGAGCCACACGGGCTGTGTCTAGAGCTGGCCTGCAACTGGCCCAGGGATGCATTGGCTGCCAACTCACCGCCATGCACTAGTACCGATATGCGGGCTCGGCATAGCTCTAACAGCTCCAGCACCTGGACGGGGGACGTGTGCAGTGAGGCAGGTGGGGGTGCCGGCTCTATATGCCCCCACCCCACCTGGGCCACTGCTCACCTCCCAGCTCTGCTTGGCACCACCCTGCTCTGCCCAGTCCCGAGGCGTGCGACCCTGCTGGTCATGCAAACGCAGGTCACCCCCCGCCTGTAGCAGGTGCAGCATCACCAGGCTGCGGCCCGAGAAGGCGCCTGCGTGCACAGGTGTGCTGCCATCGAGGCAGCGGCTGCATCGGAACAATGAGGACAGGAATGTATTAGGAAAGGGGCGGAACAGGGACAAGGGGTGGCAGGATGGGAGCACTGAGGGATGAGAGGAGTCACGGTGAACATGGGAGGTGGACATCGGGACAGGAGGGGTCACTTGGGGACACAGTGGGGTCTTTGAGAGGTGAGAGTCTCATTGTGAGCATAACAGTAACCAGGAGAATGGGAATAGTTCCTGGAGGACAAGGAGGGGTTAATGCAGAGAACAAGGCGGAAGCTCACTGGGCACAGAAGGGTCATCAGGATGGAAAGGTGTCATGAGGGAGTGGTCTCTGGGGAGGAAAGCCCTGGCTCTCAGGCTCTCTGGGGTTCTGACCCATACCCCTGAAACGTGGGGGCACCGCCATCGGTCCACTCACTGGTTGGGGTTGGCGCCAAAGGTCAGCAAGAGCTGCACGGCAGAGCTGTGGCCCAGCAGCGCCGAGAGGAAGAGCCCCGTCTGCCCAGCAGAGTTCTCACCATCCACCTGGACAACTGAGGGGCAGCAAGGCTTAGGACTATCCCTGCCCTTTACTCCAGAGGCAGAGGTCCCGGGGGCTGCTATGCAACGCCTCAGCCAATTCCCAGTCCCCGCAGTCCCTCCTTGCCTGGGTGACCCTCAACTCCAGATTCTATCTGTATGTCCTGGAACCCCCACCCTCCAACCACTGGGGACTCTGCTCAGAATCTGTCTCAACACAGTGCTCACCATTAATAAGTCGACAGAGTTGCAACAAGGGGTGACGTCCACCTGCTATGCTGCCACCCATCTGCCACCCCAGAAGTGTCAAAATCACACAAAGGTACCCAGGGGCCGGGGGGAAGTGGACTTCTCAGGGACCTCAGCTGACAGGAGCCTTGTGCACTGTCCAAGGCAGGCAGCCTCCACCCAGCTCTCCTTCAGTGTGTCTATACAGATCCCATGTGGCCAGCATCCAATTCTTCAAGAAAAGCAAACTCTTTGGATTTTATCAGGAAATCTCTCAGGTTTATTTTTGCATACTGCTTCTAAGAGCCGAATCCAAGTAGCAATCTCCTCTGCACCTCCACTTATGCCAATCTCTTCCCCCCTCCTCATTCTGCTCAGATCCCCTTCCTATCCCCTCCTCTCCATACCCATTATCCTGAATTCTTCTTCCTCTAGGCCCTGGCCTATCTCCCTACTGAGGGCAAATGCATGGTGTCTTTGTCCTTGCACTCCTATGTCTTAGGCAGACATGGCTAAAATCAATCATGTGCTTGGCCCAACCCAGCTTGGTCTCTGTCACAAAATCTCTCCAAATGTGGTCCTTTAGGAACATCTGAATATCACAATTACTGCATCCTATTTTATCCAGTAGCCCACTGTCTTTTGCAATGGCATCCTAAATGATTTTCTGCATTTGTCTTGCCCTGCAGAAGGATCTTCTTAAAACACAAATCACTGCATGATATAGATAATCATTACAATGGTGATCATTTCATTTCATGTATAAATAATCTTATACAAGTTGTTCCAAAAGCAAAAAAAAAAAAGAGAGAGAAAGAGAGAGAGGGCAAGCCTCCTTTTATGAGGCTAGTATGACCTTAATTCCAAAGCCTGGTAAGTTTCCAGAACCAAAAATGAAATATTTCAATTCCATTAATGATCATATATGCTAACCTCCTAAATAGACTAAAAGGGATTATCCAATTGATTTATTCCCAGAAATCAAGGACGATTCAACATAAGAAAATCAATCAATGTAGGAAAACACATTCATGGATTAAAGAACAAAAATCACATTTGGCTTAGTAGATACAGAAAAAGAACCTGATAAAATTCAAAACTTCCATAAGAGACTCTTAACAACAGAGAACAGAGGGTTGATGGAGGGAGGTGGGTGGGGGATGGGCTAAATGGGAGATGGGTATTAAGGAGGGCACTTGTTATGATGAGCACTGGGTGGTATATGTAAGTGATGAAAGACTAAATTAAATAAATAAAAATAAAATTCAATACTTACTTATGACTGAGGGAGGCAAATACCTCAAAAAACTAAGAATAAACAGGAACTTCCTCACTTTATAAAAATTATATACCAAAACCCAAGAGCACCCACAATACTTAATGCAGAAATACAGATTAATTCCCTTTAATATCAAGAACAAGTTAAGAGATGTCCATCGACAACAAGGTTTGGGGGTTTGGGGGTTCTGGCCAACACCATACACGAGAAAAAAAAGAATTAAGAGTTGAAAGGGCTGAGACCAAACTGTCACCATCTGTGGGTAACAAAAACTGTAAAAGAATCAAAAACTACAACTATTAAATTCAGAAAGTGGCCAGAAACACAATCGACTTAGAAAAATCGATGAAAAATGGAAATTGTAAATTAGATGTTAATTTCCTGCCTACAACTCCAATGGCTTCCCATCCCACACAGAACAAAATATAACAGAATTCACCCGCTACTTCAGAGGCCCTTTCCTGTCTGGACGGAGCTGGTGCCTCTTAAGCTTCAGCCCTCTCCCTGAGTCCCCCTCCCCCACTGCTGCTACTTAACAGTTTGACTTCAAGGCCTTTTTAGGGGCTCTGTCACCCTGGGGTGGGGGTGTGGTTTGCATGACCGGCTCTTATAAAGCCACGCTTCTTGGTGTAGCTACTTCATCTTCACCACTCTCTTAAATTCTCATGATAGATTTCATTCACAATGACCCAGAAGGTCGTCCCTAAATCCCCATCATAGACGACAGAGGCTGGCACACCATAGGCGCCTGGTACACAACTGTTGAGCGTGTAGAAGTCCCACCTTCTACACGGCCTCTTGAGCTGGTCCCCACAGGAAGCTGCAGGAGCTGAACCCTCACCTCTCCGCAGGAGCCGGGTGAGGCCCCAGCCTGGGCCCCCGGCCACAGCCAGGCGATGCAGTCGTCCCACCTGGGCTTCTGCATCCCTAACAGAGCCCAGCTCCACGGGGAAGCGAGAGCGCAGGGAGGGCATCTGTGAGCTCCGGCCTCGCTCAGATCCTGGGCAGGGATCACCTAGGGGTGTCTCATGAGGGAGGAGGAAGTAAACAGAGGACCTCTGGGGGTAATAAAAACAGCTGGCTGGGAGTCCTGGAGAGCCGAGTGAGAAAGGGAGGGGACTCAGGAGGAATCCTCTCCGGTGTTAGGTGTTTGAATGAGAAAAAGGGTGGGATCTGGGAGAGCTACAGCCCGGCAGGTCTGGGGTCTACGGGAGTCTGAGGGCAGGGCATTCTCTCTGGGGGAGGGGGTGTAAGGGCTCCAGGGATAGGATCTGAGCTGAGGAAAGGAGGCTAGTGGTTTAGGAAAAGGGTCTGGTGGAAGAGGGGCCTGAGGGTTGGCCTGAGAAGGGGTAGAGTCTCCAGGTTGGGCGACGGGGTGGAAGGGAGGAGGACAGTCAGGGCAGGGGCTGAGACAGGGTGTGAGGGTTGGGGACACGGACTGAGGTTCAGGGAAGCCTCTGGGTGCTGGGGTGGGGTCTGTGGGCTACTGGAGGAGACTGAGGAAGGAGGGGGTCTGAGGGCAGTGTCTGTGGGCTGAGAGCCGGAGTCTGATAAGGGGTAGGGTCTGCGGGCCACCAGGGGTGGGAAGGAGGGAGGAGTATGAGGGAAGGGGGCGGTCTGGGGGCGGGGTCTAGCCTAAGGGTCCAGTAAGCTCTAGGAAGATTCTGGGGCCTAGGCCCCAGCCCAGGGGGTCCTTGCACCTACCGTTGCGCTCCCACAGTGATCACCACGTGACTGCCACGTGACCCAGGCACGCATTCCGGCGTCTGAGCGGGAATCAGGGGCGCATGCGCATCAGTGGCTTGCGCTTGCGCATTAGCTTCCCTCCTCTGAGAGGCGCTCTTATAGCCCTGAGGTGATGCAAAAGAAGAGCAAGCCATATCCACCCTAGAGGTACGTGTTATCCCCCTGTTACGCCTGCCCCAGGACTTGTTTGAGGTGGTGGGCCCTTCCTGATCCCTGTCCTTGGCTGTCTTCTTCCCACGCTTCTTACCACCACCACGGGCTGTCTCTTTTCCCTAACCCCAACCTCATCTCTTTGCCCCAAACCTGGGGCCCCACAGTGTCCTGGACACCTCGCCCTGGAAATCCTCTGAGACCCTCCCATCCACTGGGTCCCACACTTGTAGTATCTCCCCAAAACTGCATTTCCTCCCAATCACCATCTCAGGGTACCCCCTCTTCAAGCCAGAGCCCTGGGCCTCGCCCTTCAGTGTCTCCTTCCCATCCAGCCTCTCAGCCCGAGGGCCCATTCACTCAGCCTCTAGATTGTCCTTCCCACCAGCCCCCTCCTCCGTTTGTTATAGCCCTGCCATGCTCCAGCTACCTGCAGGGATTTCTTACTTCATCTTCCCTTGGGCTCCCAGCCTGTCTCCCCACTCTGGTACACTCACTGCATGGTAGCCAGGGGAGTCTTTACTAAAGCCAAACCTGACTCTGTTCCTCCCTTGCTTGAAACTCTCCTGGCTCCCCAGGGCCCTTGGGACAGAGTCCAGGCCCTTAAATCTGGCATCAAAGATGGCATTGTCTGGCCTGCCTACCCTTCATCCCTGTCTTCCCACTCCCTAGTCTGTTGCAAACTTTTCTGTCTATGCGCACGCCCTTGCCTTTGAATGCTCTTCTCAGTATTCCTTTGGTTATCCTTATGAATTCCCTGGAAAGCCCTCTTGATCGCCAGGTGTCTCACCTTGATCCACCAGGCTGTCACTGTCTGAAGATAGGTCTGTCTACCCCTACTGGACTAAGCCCTGTGAGGCAGGGCCTGCAGTTGTCTTTGTCACTGTTGAGTCCCCAGCATTGTTCATCTCAGAGGAGCCCAGAAGGAGCCTCAGTAAATGCTTATTAAATGAAAAAGTGATTTGCCTCTTCCCTCTGTCCCTCCCAGCCTCTTGGTTTCAGTGCCTCAGTGTCTGCTGTTCATCTGGGCATCCCCTGGAGTGAAGAAAGCTCCCACATGAGTCATTGACTGGCTGAGTAGAGCTGATCCCAGGCCCATTGCAGGATAGTCTGCCTCAGGGTTAGGGGGAGGCATCATTAGTCTTTGATCAATGCCCTTGCTATGCTCTAGGGTCAGCTAGTGGTCTCTCTTGAGCTGCAGAGCCCCTAGCTTGGGCTCGCTGAGGTGGAGACTAGCCCTTCCCCAAGGAGGAGCTTCAGTGCAGGACAGCAGCCTGGGCCATAGCTCAGGATCTTTATTAACCACATGACCCCTGGGGATGCTAATGGGGGTACCCTCAGGCCCCGCCCAGCACTCTCCGTCGAAGTTCTTGGATGAGCAGCTTCTGTTCCCTGCGGGCACCCTGCAGCACGCTCCGGTTCTCCTGGGCCCTCCGGATCAGGTAGGGGATCACCTCCTCCAGGGAACCATAAGGGATGGACTTATACACAGCATAGCCGGCCTGCCCTGTGGGGAGAGTGTTGGCAGGGTGTGAACTCATGTTTGGGGAGAGGCCCCATCTGGAACAGAGACTTTCATGTCTGAGGACATGACAGACTAGGTGAGTTGGACAAAATTTCCCACTGAAAAAACATAAAATCCTGCAGTAAACATTTAGAAAAATCTTCCTAAAGTTATTAAAATACGGCCAAAAGAGTAAGGAATTTAGTAATCCAAGCATTAAGAGAAAGTGAGAACCCAAAGAGGGAAGGATGCAAGGAAGCACTTCCACCCTGAAGGCAAAATTTGATGACCTCACAGAGTTGAGGGGGTGCAGAATCGAGGCCCAGAGCCTGACCAGGGTGAGTTGTAATGGAGCACTTCCTCAAATTAAGCTGCATCCTCAGTGTCAGAGTTAACCAGAAGTCCACCCACCCACCTTCCCCAACTCACAGGGAATGGTGGCCTTGATCATAAGTGGAGCAGAGAAGAAAACAGAAACCCATCTCTGAGAGATCGAGGCCATGGATTAGCCTCATATATTTGTAGCTCAGATTTGCATCATGGAGATGCCTCAGGAAACCTCAGGCTCTGAATTTAGGGTAAAGTAATTCTGTACCCCTTAGTACCTGGAAGAAGAAAACATAAATCTTCTGGTCTCGGACCCTGGGAAGCAACACGGTCAAGATAACAAAGCATGAAACAAGACACCATGATCAAGAACCAGCAAAAGCAACAGACAGCAGGCTCAAAGACAGGTGTGCAAGGCCTTCAGATACGGGAGCAACAGATCTATCTGGAAGAGTCTGGTGGCTGGGCCAGCTGCAGACTCTGGAGGGGAGCCTGGGCAGGAACTGGTTGGGAGTGGAAGGAGGGATTTGGCTGGGAGGGGATGAGGCCAAGGGCTGGGTGGGTCATGGTGGTGGAGTATGGGGAGAATGAGCCATTCACATACCCAGTGCCAAGGAGACGTGGTCGCACATCCCTAGAAGTTGTCCAAAACAGACAGGTCCGTCCAGAGGAATGCCCAGCTCCCACATGCTATAGAAAAGGCCACATCATCAGTCCAGACAGTGGCTGGACCCAGAGCTGACCGTCAGCCGTTATGCACTCATATGGCTGTTCCTGTTATTTAAAATTTTGAAGTACTTCCAAACTCAGCAATAAATAAACACTGCTCTCAGGTCCCTGAAAACTCCCCAGTGAGTCCCAGCTCCTTCCCTGGAACCCTCAGACCTCCCTGTGCCCCAGCAAGTAAGGAGCAATGTCTTGTTTAGCTGGGACCTACAGGGCCTACAGGTTTAGTGGGGGTTAAATATTTTGGATAGGCCCCCCTGAATCCCTGTGAACCTACTGGCCCCTCACCATCTCTCCCCCTGTTCCATATCCACCACCCTCTGCCTATCCCTGGCATGTGAGCAAGGGAGAGGAAGGGAGGGGGCCTTCTTGTGGGTACCCATTTCTCATCCCTCTACGTACCGCTTGGTCGCCTGGTGAACAGATTCCTCATTGTGGGAAGCCACCATGAGATGGCACATGGGGCCACGGTGGGACACCTGGGTCAGCATCAGCTCCAGACAGCGGCTGTAACTTAAGGGAGATGTTCTGTTCAGCTTATGGCACCTGGTGATTAAGGTCAGGCCCCAGGGACTCGGGATTCCTGTCCTTGGGAGGTGGGGTGCTTAAGGGCGAGTACTCTGGAGTCAGACAGTACCCCCATTTCACCTGCACCAGGCGCAAGGGATAGCCCTTCTCTGAGCCTGTTTCCTCTCTTTTAACGATGCAAGTTCACCTAACAGCACTGTTGAGGATGGAGTGAGATGAGGGTGTCATAAAGCCCCTGGCTCAATGGCCGTCTCACAGCAAAGGGCCACATTCCGTGCATGAGATGACATTTACCAAGGTCATTCACTGCAGCATTGGCCACGGAACATGAGGAGCAGTAATGCAGTTGTCTGTCGGTGGGGCCTGGCTCAAATGAATGACGGCACACAAAGGATAGTGGAGCGCCAGGCACTAAAGAAGGGTGAGGACACTCTGGGGCACTGATATGGAAAGGTAAACTGACTGGCAAATGCTTTCCCAGCTTGCTGCCGGCCAAGTGCCATCCTAAGGACGTCACTGGTTATTCTCCATTGCCCCCCAGATCTGTTCTCTGACCTTCTCTGCCCCTCAGGAAGCTGACTTTTATGTCCTATATCACCCATGGAGGAATGAGCAGGAGATCAGAAGAGGGGAGGAGAGGGAGCTTGGGGTATTTCGCCCCCAGCCCCCTCTCTGGCCCATGCTGACTGTCTTGTGCATGGTGACACCTTCTTTAGGGTGGCCCCCCTTCCTCAGCTCTGGAACAGTGGTCGTAAGAGCTTCATGCTCTCAGGGGTTCCCCTAACCTTGCCCACGCTCTATAGAGAGAGCATTTTACTGCATTTCCTTTAGTTAAACCCCTTTGCTTGGAATTCTCTTTCTTCCAGGGTTCTGCCTGACCCACATACATTCACTCAAGTCAGCTCCATGAGGTAGATGTCCTGGTTATCCCCATTTTACAGAGGGGAAGACTGAAGCTTGTCCCCAGGTCACACAGCTAAAAGTGGCTGGGCTGGGATTTGAACCTAGGCTGTCTGATGCTCCAGAGCCTGGGTTTATTATCATTAGACTATTCTGCCTTTAAAATATGCAACTGAGTGGAAAAGCAAGGAGCAGTGTGTAGGCATGATGCCTTTTGCACATATACACACACAAATCTCTGTGTTCGCCTGTTTTTGGATAAAGGAGCTTAGGAAATGTGTAAGAAACTAACAAAAGTAGTCACCTGTGGAGAGCAAGGAGACTCCAAAATGAGAGGGGGATTTGGGTGGAAGTGAGATATGTCAGTGTATTCATTTCATATCATTTTTATTTTTTATTTTTTTAGAGAGAGCGAGCGAGTGGGGGAGAGAGGCAGAGGGAGAGAGAGAATCCCAAGCAGGCTCTACACCCAGCACAGAGCTCTACGCAGAGCTCGATCTCATGACCCTGAGTTCATGACCTGAGCTGAAAGTAAGAGTTGGACACTTAACCAACAGCCATCCAGGTACTGCATATCATTTTGATTTTCTTTTAAAGATTTATTTATTCATTTTTAGAAAGAGAGAGAGAGCATGCCCACAAGCAGGGGGAGGGGCAGAGGGAGAGAGAGAATCCCAAGCAGACTCTGCTCTGAGCACAGAGCCCAACTCAGGGATCGATCCCATGACCCTGAGGTCAGGACCTGAGCTGAAACCAAGAGTCAGATGCTCAACTGACTGAGCCACCCACATGCCCCTCATTTTGATTTTTAATCACATAAACTTAGTATTTATTCAGAATGTGTAATGTATGAATGCAAAATGGTGTAGCAGCTTTGGAAAATCATCTGACAATTCCTCAAAAAGTTAAACGGAGTTACTATATAACCCAGCATTTCCACTCGTAGAGAGTTGAGCTTTCAAGAGAATTGAAAATGCATATTTACAGAAGAATATGCACACGAATGTTCATAGCAGCCCTAGTCATAATAGCCAAAAGTGGAAGTGATCCAAATATCCATCAGCTGATGAGTGGTACATCCATACAGTGGAATATTATTTAGACGTAAGGGACTGAAGTACTGATTCATCTGACAACGTGGTTGAACCCTGAGAACATTATGCTAAGTGAAACAGGCCAGACACAAAAGGCCATACATTATATGCCTCATTTCATTTGATATGAAATGTCCAGAAGAGGCAAATCCATCGGACAGAAAATAGATTAGAGCCTGCTATAGGGCCTGAGGGGAGGCAAATGGGGAATGACTGCTAATGGACATGGTTTCTTTTGGGGGGTGATGGAATGTTCTGGAATTAGTGGTGATGGTTGCACAGCCTTGTGAATATACTAAAATCCACTGAATTGTACACTTTGAAATGGTGAATTTTATGGTATGTGAATTATATCATAATAAAAAATAATAACGGTGCCAGTGATTAAGCCTGTGGGGCACAAACATATGTAGGAGCCCTCATGGGCCTTGGATGCAAGCCTAGCTTCTAGCTATGGTGTGGTCCATTGCCCTGTGAGCTTGGGTCAGTCCCTGTGGCTCTACAAACCTCTCCTGGATCCAGTGTGAAATGGAGGTGGATTTTTTTTTTTAAGATTTTATTTATTTATTTGACAGAGAGCGAGAGCAGGAACACAAGCAGGGGGAGTGGGAGAGGGAGAAGCAGGCTTCCCGCTGAGCAGGGAGCCGGATGCGGGGCTCAATCCCAGGAGCCTGGGATCATGACCTGAGCCGAAGGCAGATGTTTAATGACTGAGCCACCCAGGTGCCCCTGGAGGTAGATTTTTAAGCTCTGTGGGGACAGGGCCTGGTTACCACCTTCTGTTGGGAGTGGGACCAGGGTCCAGCCCAGGTCCTGATCTAAATCAGGTGATCAGAAAATATGTGGTAAAGGAACAGTTTCCTTCTTCCCAGGGTCATGGGATGGGGGCCCAAGGAGCTCACCCATATTTTGCTCCCAGCACAGGGTGATTTGAGGTGGGTAAGAATGCAGGTTCTAGAGTCAGTCTGCTGGGTTCAGAACTTGGCTGTGCCACTTACTAACTATGTGACCTTGGGTAAGTGGTTCTACCTCTCTGTGCCTGGGTTCCTTCCTCTGTGAAATTGGGCAGGGGGTGATGATGATAGTACCTACTGCTTGGGGGTTGTTTATGTGTTCAGCAGATCTGTACTGAGCACCTACCTCATAGCAGGCACAATTCTAAGCACTGGATGCTCAACAATGAACAAATCAGAAACCCCTGCCCTCCTGGGCCCACGCTCTAGAGCGGGAGACAGACAGTGTGCAATTGAATACGAAAGTGTATAGAACCTCAGATGCTGTGTAAGTGCTAAAGAGGAAAAGTAAATTTAGGAAAAGAGTAGTGTGGGTGTTCTAGTTTTTGATAGGAAGGGCAAGGAAGGTCCCCTGAGGAGGTACCAACAAGGAGGTGAGGGATTGAGCCAAGCAGCTGTCTGGAGGGAGAACGTTCTAAGCAGTGGGAACAGGAAGTGCAAAGGCCCTGGGGATCATCAAGGAGGACTGTGTGGAGGAACAGAGTGGATGGAAGACCAGATTATGTGGAGATGGGGGGCTGCTGTAAGGATTTTGGGCTTATTAAGGGGCAGTGGGAGCGAAGGAAGGGTTTTGAAGAGGGACAGGATTTGACTTAGATATTAACAGGCTCCCTCTGGCTGCCTGTGGGGTACAGATTGGGGTGGTGGACAAAGGAGGGAGCAGGGAGCCCAAAGAGGAGGCAGGAAGTGACGATGTCCTGGACCAGGGAGAGGAAATGATATGTGGACATACACAGGATGCTTAGCATCATGGGCAGTGTGCCGGGATGAAAGGTTAGATGTTATTTATCTCCGAGGCCTGTCTGGCCCAGTCCTACCTCTGACTGGTAGCCTCATAGTCCGGCTGAGTGGGGTCTTCTGTCCCATGGTGCCGAGCCACCTCTCTCTCCTTGTCTAGATATGCCCCTCGTACCAACTTGACTCCGAAGGCCAGGCCAGCCCTGTCAGCGGCCTCCGCGGCCCGCCTCAGCCGCTCGTGTGTGTCCTGGAGGGGCACCCCGGCAGCTTCGGGTCAGGGCCCCTGGGACCCCAGCCCGCGGTCCCCCACAGTTCACCACACACCTTCAGATAGGCCTGGTAAGTGTTCCACACCCAGGGCCCGCCTTCCCCAGGGCCGTTCCAGCGCATGGCCAGGGCATCCACCAGCAGAGAGAGAGCCGGGTTCAGGAAGGTGTACTCAGCATCCACCAGGAGCCTCACGTGCTGGGCTCGGGCATGCTGAGGGTGAGAGGGGCCACGGTCAGGCCTCAGGGTTCCCAGCACGCGTGGTGGAGCCAGGCCACGGCAGGTGTTACCTTGACTACCCGGTGCAAGCGGCTCAGAGAGGCCCGGAGATGCTGGTTTTGCTCGGCATTGAGGTGGGAGACCTGGAGATCCTGGAGGAGCAGCAGGGGAGGCGAGAATGGCTCAGGTGATCGGATCCTTCTGGGGCCTGTGTCTCCTCTCCCCCACCACCCAGAAGGGAGAAAAGTTTAGAAATTTTTAGAAATAGGAAACGTAGCTGTATCACATAGATACTATTTATTGAGGTGAATAAAATGGTTAAGAGCCCAGTATTTGGGTTTGAATCCAGACTCCACCACTTACTGTGTGGCCTTGGACAAGTCATATAACCTCTCTGGGCCTCAATTTTTGTCTGTTTTTTCAACGATTAGAGGATAATGGCATCTCCTTCATGGAGTTGCTGTGTGGACCTGTAAGACGTGCCTGGACATAAGAATGGGATGGAGCCAGCACATGATAAGCACTCGATATATGTTGTTATTATTTTTTTTTAATTTTTTAAAAGTTTTTATTTATTTATTTGACAGAGAGAGACACGGCGAGAGAGGGAACACAAGCAGGGGGAGTGGGAGAGGGAGAGGCAGGCCTTCTGCAGAGCAGGGAGCCCAATGCGGGGCTTGATCCCAGGACCCTGGGATCATGACCTGAGCCGAAGGCAGACGCCTAATCGACTGAGCCACCCAGGTGCCCTGATATATGTTGTTGTTATAATAATAAGTGACTTCATATGCTATCTTATTTATATAATCTTCACAATGATCACGGTAGACAGTTACTCCAAGCTTCCTTGTCCAGTGAGGAGACTGAAGCTCAGTGAGTGAGGAGACTAGGAATTAATACATAGGAAGTGCATAGAAGAGTAGCCAGCTCATAGGAGGTGCCAGAATCGTCATCTGGTATTAGGTCTCTTAGGGCCTCCATATCCTCATGTAAGGCCAGAGCCTCATTGCAACCCACGAGGCTCCACCCATCTGGCCCCTCTGCTCTCATCTCCTCAGCTCTCCCGAGCTCGAGCTCGCAGTCCTCCAGCCATGCTGGCCTCCCTGCTAGTCTTTCAGCATGCCTGGTACCTTTGTGCCTCAGGGCCTTTGCTCTGGCTGTTCCTTCTGCCTGGAACACTCTTCCCCTCGATGTCCACTTACTTCACTCTTACCTCTTCTCCAGGTGTTTTTCTCAATGTCACCTTCTCAATGAGGTTTTCCCTGGTTCACATTTGCAACTCACTTTTTGGGACTTTCCCTTCTCCTTCGTCAGCCTTATTTGTCTCTACAATGCTTATTTATACTTGTTACTTAGTGGCTTTGGTTTTAGTCATTGAGTGTCTCTTGCTCCTCCCTGACTAGCAAGTGAGTGCCTCAAGGACTGGGAGTTTGTCTTGGTCATCATTTCGTACATCCCTGGGGGAGCACGGTGGAAATAATAATTGCCCCTAACTTATGTTCTTGTTATGGACATTCCAAAGGTGAATATGAGGGCCTGGCGACTCAAGGAGTCCAGCTGGGTTCAAAGAAGTTGGGGGGTTCAAGAAGGAGGAACAGGTGGGACTTAGTTCTACCAGATCCAACAGAGTCCAGATGGAGACACAGGCCTAGGTCTGCTAGTGGAACGCCCCAGGATCAGGCTGTGGCAACCCCCCCTTGGCTTAGTGGATAAAACTCTCCAGCAGGAGGGAAGAGCTGGGGTACCTGCCCAGTTATCTTGTCCTCAGTCAGAGAATTGTCTCCCTCTGGCTGGGGGCAGAGTCTTGGGAGAGTTCTGAGGAGTTAGTAGCTGGTGATACTCCCTATGTATGATGGCCACCCTCAGAGAGGGCCTAGTTGGTGCCTGGTGCTATTTTGGGTACCTCACCAAATGTTTAACTCACTCAATCTTCACCTCCCTGTGGGGTAGGGACTGAGACAGGGGATGGGAGGGCTGTCTCTGAGATGGGGACAGGAAGGGGGGCATGTTTGGGGAGACACTGAAGCCTGGTAGGTGTGAGGGGTCTGGAGGATGTCCAGGGGCTCAGGCGAAAGGCTGGGGATGGAGACAAACATGGGCCCCATGAGTACCCAGTGGGGAAACTGAGGCTGCAGGGTGGATAAGAAGCCCCCATCGAGGGGAGTAAGGAGTGAGGAGGTGGGAGCCAGGACCTAGACTTGGGGAAGCACCATATTGAAGAGACAGGCAGAGAAGAACCTAACAAGGATTGAGAATGAGCTGGCAGAGATGGAAAAGGAAAACCAGGTGTTTGTATTAGGGATGCCAACGGCAGGGAGGGTAGCAATAGTTTATGGAAATAAACAGAAATGAATGAGTGAATGAATGAATGACCAAACCAAAACCCCACTGGCCTAATCATAACTTCCAGTCAGCACACAACAGAGCTGAGTTGATTGACCAAATACTAATTACCTTTTTGAGTTGGTAAAGAGCTACTGTCTCACTACGTCTTCTGAGAACTCCCAGCCCCCAGGCCCTCGCCTAGGACCCCCAGATGACCCATATATTCCATCCATTCCAGCCACACCCCAGGGCTAGAGCCACATTTATTTCTGGTTGTTCCAAGCCTGGGGAGTAGCAGTAGTTACATAGTTCGAACACCCTGCTTACAGGCAGGTGCCAGGCAGGTGCCTGCTACATCCAAGTACAGAGAGCTCTGCTCCCTCCCACTTCCTCACCGACCACCCATTCTCTACCAGCCTGAGGCCCTTACCCGCCCAGAGTCCATGGCTTCAGCCAGCCTCTCGGGGCTCAGCTCCAAGGAAGCCCCTGGTTTTCTGATCCATGAGGTTAGCTCCTTCTGGAATGGGGTGGTAGGTGGAGTGGTGAGGGGGACCTGGTAGGCAGCCATACCCTCCCTCCCCCATCTTGCCCGTCCCTTACACAGAGCCGAGCACTGGTCAGCGCCGTCACCTTCAGCTGCATAAGGATGTTCCCAGTCGGGCCAGGGGTCTCCAGCAGGCCTCGTGACAGGTCCACACACCGAAGCATAGCACTGAAGTTCCCCTCATACCAGGCCTCACTGCCCAGCCAGCGGGCATTAGCTTCTGGAGCCCACCAGTCCCCTTCCTGCCAACCTCCCAGCCTCCCTGGGCCTGGCCCCTACTCACCCAGTCTTGACAGCTGAGTCTGGCTCCTCCTCAGTGGGTACTGCCAGCAGGGGCCGAAGGCCTAGGGTCTGGAGCTGTTGGACACAGCCCTTCACCTCCTCTGCTGTCTCACCAGCCACAAACTGCCCATAGATAGATGCTCGGAGAAGTGCGCCTGAGAGCCGGGAGCCCAGGAGTCGCTGAGACCAGGCCTGGAGCTGGAGTGACAGAGAGCAAGGGCTCAGAGCCCAGTCCGGGGATGCCCAAGGCCAGTCCCCAGGGTCCCTGCTCACCGCCAGGCCATGTGTGACCAGAGGGGGCCAGGCACACAGCCGCAGCACCAACAAAGCTCGTGTCAGTTCTCCTGTGCCTTTGAGGTGAAAAGCCCCACCATCAAAGCTCAAGGGCTGCCAGCCCCCAGCGGAGGGTCCAGCTTGGGAGCAGAGCACACGACAGGTCCGCAGCATCATGAATCCCTAGCCACTTCTAGAGCAAGTAAAGGGGCTTTGGAGGCAGGAGGTCTACCAAATGCCCCTTGCCCGGCCAGGGGCAGTGACTGATTAACCAGGCAGTAGCCAGGGCAAGGCAAATCTTTTAGGATCATAGGCTCCTTGGGGGGCAGTTAATTATTAACTGATGGGGACAGAGTTCATAATAATGGGGACAGGAATGGAAACCCCCAAAAATAGCCCCCAACAACCCCCAGCAGAAGAGCTCACAATTGTTGTGTTAAGGGAAAGCATGGGCTCTGGAACAAGGATCTCCAGGTTCAAGGCCATTCGGTTTTGTGATCTTGGGAAAGTTACTTAACCTCGCTTATTGCAATTACTACATTTTCAAACGGGAAAGATGGCAGTGTTACTGAATCAATTTGAAAATGCACATAACCTGTAACCCAGCTGTTCCAGGCTGAGCATACATCTTAGAGAACTGGGACGTGACCGTTGGGAAACATGTAGAGGGAGGAACATTCACAGCTGCACTGTTTGTCACGGCCACAAAGCACCCAAATTTCCATCAACCGCAGAACGGGTAGAGATATACTGTGGTCTACAATGGCATATTATATGGAATACTATATGGCAATGAAAACGGAACAGACTACTTATGTGTCCAACCCCGTGGTTAAATCTCACGTGCATAGTAGTGAGTGAAAGAAGCAGACACTGAACAGGACACGCTGCATTATTCCATTCAATACACTTGAAAGCAGGGAAAATGAAACAGTAGTGTTAGGAATATGTACACGGTGGCTGACCCATACAGAAAAGACAAAAAAGGAAATGATTATCTCAAAAGTCAGAGGTGGTTAGGGGCACCTGGGTGGCTCAGTCGTTAAGCACCTGCCCTCGGCTCAGGTCATAATCCCAGGGTCCTGGGATCGAGCCCCGCATCGGGCTCCCTGCTCTGCAGGAAGTCTGCTTCTCCCACTCCCTCCGCTTCTGTTCCCTCTCTCGCTGTGTCTCTCTCTGTCAAATAAATAAACAAAAAAATCTTTAAAAAAAAAAAAAAAGTCAGAGGTGGTTACCTCGGACGGTGGGAGGGGCTGTAGCTGGGTAGGGGCTCCTGGGGGCTTCCCTGTCCTTATTTCTTAACCTGATGATACAGTTGTTCACATTCTAAGTATTTTTTTTAAAGATTTTATTTATTTATTTGAGACAGAGAGAGAGAGCACAAGTGGGGGAGGCGCAGAGGGAGAAGCAGGCTCCCCACTGAGCAGGGAACCTGATGCAGGGGCTCGATCCCAGGACCCTGGGATTGTGACCTGAGCCGAAGGCAGACGCTTAACGACTGAGCCACCCAGGCGCCCCCTGCAGTCTTTTATCAGTACCCAATTCACAGAACATGTGACTAGAGTCAGACTGTAAATCCAGCAAAGCTTGAGCTAAAGTTTTAAGCTGTTTTTTTTTTTTTAATTCCATGCACAGTTCATATTTAAAAATTAAAACAATACAGAAGGGGGCAGAGTGAAAAATCAGTCTTTCTCCCACTCCTGAATTTCAGCCCCTCAATTTGGTCCCTGTAAGGCAGTGGGCTATCCTTGCAAAGACAGAAAATGCACCTGTATATCTCTTTTATTTATTACATAATGAGAGGCTACTATTCATTCCTTTGCACACTGATTTTTTTTAACTGAATCTATTTTGAAAGATCATTCCCATCTCAGCACATATAGTTCTGTCTCAAATTTGAAAAGCTCTATGTTGTTTCTTCCTTTAATCTTTTTTTTTAAAGATTTTATTTATTTATTTTGACAGAGAGAGATAGCGAGAGCAGGAACGCAAGCAGAGAGGAGTGGGAGAGGGAGAGCAGGCTTCCCACTGAGCAGGGAGCCCAATGCGGGGCTCGATCCCAGGAACCTGGGATCATGACCCAAGCCGAAGGCAGACGCTTAATGACTGAGCCACCCAGGTGCCCCCTTCTTTAATCTTTGATAGAATCCACCAGTAAAGTCATTTGGGCCAGTTGTCTTTGTGGGAAGTTTGCTTGCTTTTTTTTTTTTTTTTTAAGATTTTGTTTATTTATCTTATGGGAAGTTTTTTTAAATAATGAATTCAGTTTCTTTAATAAATATAGGGCTCTTCCTGTGTTCTATTTCACAAGCTTTCATTCCTTGTGTTTTACAAGGAATCGTCACTTCATCTAAATTGTCAAATCTAACTGCAGAATTTGTAGAGATAACCTCTTTTTCACTCTTGATATTGGTCATTTCTGTTCTCTTTTTCCTCTTCATCCATCTAGCTAGGGATTTTATCAGTCTCGTTTATCTTTTCAAACAGCCAGTTTGGGCTTTGTTAATTTTATCTATGGTTCGCTGATCTGTCTCATTTTTAACGTTTGCAGATTGTTCTGTTGTATGGACTCTCATCATTGATGATTTCATTTTCTCTGACACTTAGCATAAAAATTTGCAAACACAGTTTAAAGAATGACCACAGACCACTTACACACCTTCCACCTAGATCCAACAACTTACTATCTTTGCTTTTTCTCTCCTCTTTCCTTATCTCTTAATATAAACATGTGTCCCATATCATTTGAAAGTAAGTTATAGACCTTTTGGCATCTCAGCATGCATGTTTTAAGAGTAAGAACAGGAGTGCATGGGTGGCTCAGTCGGTTGAGCATCTGGCTTTTGATTTCGGCTCAGGTCATGATCTTGGGGTTTTGACGTGAGTCCCGTGTCGGGCTCCTTGCTCAGCAGGGAGTCTCCTTGAGATTGTCTCCCTCTCCCTCTGCCCCTTCCCCTACTCATTCTCTCTCTCTCACTCTCTCTCTAAAATAAATCTTAATAAAAAGAACATCCTCCTATATACCCACACCATCGTTCTCACATCTAAGAAAATACCAATAATTCCTTAGTATCTACTATCACATTCATGTTCAGATTTCCCCAGTTGTCTCCAAAATGTGTTTATAGCTGTTATTATTATTTTTTAGACTAAAATCAATCCATGTTCATGCTTTGCATTTGGTTGTTATGTCTCTTTAGTGTTTGGGGTATATTTTTGGTACAGTCCTCATGATATTTTTTAAAGATTTATTTATTTGAGACAGTGAGAGCGGGGGGAGGGGCAGAGGGAGAGAGAGAGAATCTCAAGCAGACTTCCTGCTGAGCGCAGAGCCCAACACAGGGCTGCATTTCATGACCCTGAGATCATGACCTGAGCCAAAACCAAGAGTCGGAGGCTCAACTGACAGCCGCGTCGGTGCCCCATGATTTTTTTTTAAAAAAACAATATTTACTTCCCGAAAAAGCCCAGGCCAAATGTCTTGTAGAATGTTCCACATGCTGTATTTGCTTGATTATACTCATGTGATGTCATCTGATGTGTTCCTTTATCCTATGTATTTACTGTAAATCCTGTGTTTTGGTCAAGAGCCATAATTTAGTAGACCAGCATCCTACTGCTGACTCTTTAGGTTGACTCCAGAGTCCCCAAGCCTGGTCTCTTAGCCACCATGTTATTAGGGCCTCCCAGGGTCCTCAACAACTCTGCCAGAGCAGCCTTGACCAGGAGGGTAGGAGACAGGTTGAGGGGCTAGGTTCAAAGCCTTCCCAGACCTCCCATTAGGGGATTAAGAGGACTAGAGTTCAGGGAAGAATAGGGAGAGGAGAGAAGCCAGAAACAAAATTGTCTTTTGGGACTAGATTATGAGGGACCTTAAATATTCATTATGAAGAGCTGATTTTACCTTGGGCACACTAGGGAGCCATGGAAGATTCTAGCTGTGGAAGAGAAACTCACATTTAGGCTTTAAGACGATTCCCCTGAAAAAAAAAATAATAAAGAAGATCCCCCTGCCTGCCCAGTGGGAGAGTAGATAAGAGAGAAGGTCTGGGTCTAGAAGCCAGGGAGGAAACTAAGGCAGGGATAGGGGCGCAAGGATGAGGTGGGGCCAGAGTGGAAGTAGAGGAGGGGAGAGATAAATAGGGCGCCGTGTGCATGTGATGGGAGACCCCCAAATCCTCATGGAAACCCCGAGTCCTAAGGGTGACAGTCACAGAGACTTTGATCAGATGTGGCATCTGAGGGACACTGTCTCCTCACTCTGACCCCCAAAAACTTTTCCATGAGAACCCCAGGTTCCAGGGAATCAAGCACGGAGACTCTAGCCAAGTGTGGGGATCAGAAATACCGGCTTCTGGCTCCCTTCCCAGATTTCCCCCTTGCAATCTCTAAATACGCCTTTCTCCTTGCCTGGTAGGAGGAAAGAGTAGTTTAATTTTTGTCTTGCTTTGTTTCCCAGGTATAGGCAGCACAACTTAGGTGCTGAATAACTATTGAATGAATTCATGAAACAAACCAGAGTATGTCTCATCCCTCTGGTGCCTTCAGACCAAAGAGTGGTCTCCCTGGACCAGCCTCAATGTATGAATCCTCCTGGGGGTTCCCATCCCAGGGATGCCCCTCTCTTGCTCCCCATGGTTCTGAAGAGAACGAAAAACTCCTTCAAATGGTCTTCAGGGCCATCACCAGTGTCTCAACATTGGCTGCACATTGAGATTACCTGGGGAGATTATTTTATTTTTTAAATTATCATACCATAAAAATAAGTTTTTTCTTTTTTTTTTTAAGATATTTCGTTTATTTATTTGACAGAGACACAGAGAGAGAGGGAACACAAGTAGGGGGAGTGGGAGAGGGGGAAGGGGGAAGCCCGATGCGGGGCTCGCTCCCAGGACCCTGGGATCATGACCCAAGCCAAAGGCAAACACTTAACGACTGAGCCACCCAGGCGCCCCATAACTTTTTTCTTTTAGTGTGCAGTTCAATGTTAACACATGTATAAATTCATTTCACACACATGGCAATCAAGATAAGAACAGTTGCATCCTCCCAAAACACTCCTTTTGCAGCCACACCCTCTCCCCACCCATAACTCCCGATGACCAGTGATCTTTTCTAACATCACTGTGGTTTTGTGTTGTTGAGAATGTCAAATATATGCAGCCATACAGTATGTAATCTTTGAGACGGGCTTCTTTCACTTAGCATGATGTCTTTGAGATCACGTAAGTTTTTGCATTTATCAGTAGCTTGCTCCTTTTGACTGCTCTAGCATTCTGTTGTG